GGCTTTTTCAGGGAACTATAGCTGCTGAAAGTACCCAAACGGCACAGCAGGTGGCAGTATTTAGTCAGCCTTGATTGATCTCCAAGAAAATAAGCAGGGTTGAACATGGTTAGGATGCAGATAAGCTACACCTGGGAAATTCTAAATCAGTAGGCTAGCCTAAGAAACTCTTGAAGAAGGAAAGGCAAGCTCATTTCAAATTAGAATAGAATAGAAGACATTGGGGGGTCTTCTAGTCCAACCCCCTGCTCAGGCAGAAAACCCTATACCTTTTAAACAAAGAGTTGCCCAATCTCTTCTTACAAACTTCTAGTGTTGAAGCATTCACAACTTCTGGAGGCAGGTTGTTCCACTGATTAATTGTTCTCACTGTCAGGAAATTTCTCCTTAGTTCTAGGTTGCTTCTCTCCTTAATTAGTTTCCCTCCATTGTTTCTTGTCCTGCTTTCAGGCGCTTTGGAAAATAGCTTGATTCCCTCTTTATGGCAGCCCCTGAGATATTGGAACACTGCTATCATGTCCCCCCTCGTCCTTCTCTTCATTAAACTAGACATACCCAATTCTAGCAACCGTTCCTTATATGTTTTAGCCTCCAGTCCCCTAATCATCTTTGTTGCTCTTCTCTGTATTCTTTCTAGAGTCTCAGCATCTTTTTTACATCATGGTGACCAAAACTGGATGCAGTATTCCAAGTGTGGCCTTACCTATTATTACCAAGAAAACAGCATGAGCTAGTCCATGTAATTACTAGCTTGACTTGAGGTATCTAAGCATATATTTTATTCATCAAATAAACAGGTTCTCCAGATATTCGGTATCTATTTCGGTTAACAAGAGGAAGAGGTATCCAGTACAGATAGTTCTCAACTTACAACCATAACGGAGCCTGGAATTTCTGTTGTAAGTCATGATGGACATAAATCAAGGCACTCATGTGACTGGACTCAATTCTACAACTTTTCTTGCAGTGGTTATTAAGCCAATGCCATGGTTGTTAAGTGAATACACCGATCATTAAGCAAACACCTTGGTCATTAAGAGAATCCATGTATTCCTATGGGTGGTTTGTTTTGCTGGAAACTGGCCGAAAAACCATTACAAACCATGAATCACAGTTGTGTGACTAATGAATACTGCAACTGGGGATAAAGGCAAGGTGGTAGCCAAGCACCTAAAAAGCGTGGGGTGTGTGTGTGTGTGTGGAAGGGGAGTACTGCAGCCATCACAATTCAAGTATTTTGGGGGGTAGGTCCTTCATAACTTCAAACTATCACTAATTCACTGTTCATTAAATGAGGACTATGTATAATGATTCCAGGAAAATTAATACAGTGAGATTGGCTGCAGGGTTTAAGGCGTTGGGCTTATGCAAATCCCAGCAGAGTTCTCCATTATTGGAAAACTGCAACGATGTACATCTGTTTAATGGATGCCATAAAAGCTTCAATTTCACTTTCTTTTTTAAAAAAGACTCATTTCTATTAACAGAAGATGGTTAGCAGACTGTGTGACATGCTAATTCCCATGGATTTATTAAAGTGGATTTGCAAAATCAGTGCCATTTTTGAAAAAATTGCCTTAAGTTTGGGGAGAAAAACCTTTGAATCCACTGCATTTTTATTAGCAGTAGCGTGTCTTTAAATTGGTGATTCTATCTGCTAGACCCCCAAAAGAGAGAGATTATCAAACAAAATGAATAACAGGCATAAGACTCATGAGTTTCCAGAAATATATATATTAAAATAACTAAGGTTTCCCTCCATTCTTATTAGTTAGCCCTCTAAGGAGTTAATAACAGTGGTGAGATTCAGCCGGTTCGCACCATTTTGGCAGAACCACTAGCTAATTTTTTGTTGCCCAGGCCCAGAATAGACTTCCGGAAGCGGCATCCACACAGAGAACCAGTTGTTCACATATCTGAATCCCACCACTGGTTAGTAACCAATCTCTGTTGCAAAAAATAGCTTAGGTTCTTCAGTTTTGACTCTCACATGTTTGAGAAAAAAAAAAACTTTGCTGGCTAAATGTCTACCTCAGGGTTCTTCAAACTTGGCCCATTTATGACTTGTGGACTTCAACTCCCAGAATTCCTCAGCCAGCGTGCCTGGCTGAGGAATTCTGGGAGTTGAAGTCCACAAGTCATAAAAGGACCAAGTTTGAAGACCCCTGGTCTACATGATATGTTTGCTGTTAAAGCCAAACATCCTCCACCCCCTTCAAAAAAAAATAAAATCTGGCAACAATCTTTATTGGGAAAGAGGAATTAACTCTTACATGAGACTACTTTCTAGATTTTGACTATTGTGATATTTAATTGCATATAGAGAGCCAGTTTGGTGTAGTGGTTATGTTGCTGGCCTAGAAATCAAGAGACTGTGAGTTCCATTTCCATCTTAGGCATGAAAGCTGACTGGGTGACTTTGGGCCAATTACTAGGAGACTGTGAGTTCAAGTCCTGCTTTAGGCACGAAAATCAGCTGGTTGACTTTGGATCAATCACCAAGAGACTGTGAGTTCTAGTCCTGCCTTTGACATGAAAGCTGGCTGGTTGACTTTCGGCCAGTCACTCACTCTCAGCTCAAAGGGTTGTTGTGGGGAAAATAGGAGGAGGAAGGAGTGTGTATATCTGCTGCCTTGAGTTACTTATAAAGTAATGTAGATAAAAATCAAATATGTATGTATGATGTATATATAAGAGGGCTGATGAGAGCTTTTGGGAGAAGTGTTAATGCTTTTCCTATTTAGATGGGAATTTAAAGGAACTATTTTGTATTTCTGGATCTGTACCAGGAAGGAAGGAAGGAAGGAGCACTTGGCTTCTGAAAGTTGATAAGATATAGCTGGTTTTAGAAGCCAGAATGCAGCTTTTGGTCAAATACTGTCTGTGTGTATTCTGTCTTGCTTTGTGCTTGCTCAGCCTACATACTTACATATTTTAAAATTGCAAACTCTGTCCCATGTCACAATGCATGTACAAAAGAGGCAGAGATTTTGTCACAACAGCATGATGCTGCTTTTGTCATTCTGCTCCCCTGGAGATGCTACTGGTTAGGCAAACTGAATTTCTTACCTTTCTTATTTCTCACCTTTCTCATTAAAACAATACAAAGACATCCTCCTACACATACACAAATCATTTATCTAGAGGATACAACCACGATGCTGCTTTTCTGAAAGGGGATCATGCAGTTACACTTCTAATGATATTGAAATCTAAAAAAGTTTGCACACAAATGCGAAGACTGCCTATGCACAGGAGCTGTGTTCGCACCACACAGACCTAGAGGACGCGATATGTTCGCACAACAACTCAACTAAGTTGCATGAACTCCACCTAGAATCATAGGTCTGGAAAGAACCTTGGAGGTCTTCTAGTCCAACCCCTTAGTCCTTATACCAGTGATGGCAAACCTTTTAGAGACCGAGTGCCCAAACTGCAAGCCAAAACCCACTTATGCATCGTCGGGGGCCGGGTGGGTGTGGCCATTGGCTGGGTGTGGCCAATTGGGTGAGTGTGGCCCATTGGGTGGGCGTGACTGCGATGGTAACAGCAGACTGGGTGGGACTAAAAAGTTCAATCAATCAATTCCAACTTTGCAAGATCTTTTTTTTCCCCGCAAGAAGTTGAAATTGACTGATTGATTGAACCTTTTTTTTTTTTTTTTTGCACATGGTGGCAGAGGCCTAAAGTGAAAAGGTTTTATAAAACCCAGCTGAAGGCCTAGGACTGGGGCGACGGCGTGCGTGCCCATAGAGAGGGCTCTGAGTGGTGCCTCTGGCACCCGTGACATAGGTTCGCCACCACTGCCTTATACCATGGACAAATGGTTGCCCACACCTCCCATTTATGAAGGCAAGCCATTCCACTGGTTAATTGTTTTCACGATCAGGAAAGTCTTTTTTATTTCCAGGCTGGATCTCACTTTGACCTGTTTGATTAGTTTATTATTTAACGTGTTGAGCAAATCCGAACAGCTAACTAATGAAGAAAGTTGTGTGAATTAAATAGGCTGTGTGAATGCGCACCCTGTGCATTCTGTGGTCCTGCATGACGAGTCAGACGTCAGATTGTCTCAAAGTGACAACGGTCCACCCTGTCCAAGCTCCATCTGAACAGCTTTCAAAGAGATGCCTCCACGTTTAGAGGTGGAAGAATCTCTTCAAACGTTTTACTGGGAAATCTGGATTTATTTATCTGACAAAAGCACACAGCAATTACTGTTTATGGGATCTGTTCAGGATGGAGAGGGAAATCTGGAGAGACACTCCATTGCTTGAAAAAGGACATAACAGAAGTTGTAACAGAATAACAGAGTTGGAAGGGACCTTGGAGGTCTTCTAGTCCAACCCCCTGCTCAAAAGCAGAAAATCCTATACAGTTTCAGACAAATGATTATCCGGTCTCTTCTTAAAAACTCCTAGTGTAGGATGTCTATGGAGATTCTCAGTCCATAGACATTTAGCTATGCACTTTGGGATGAACCCCCTTCAAATGGTGCGGGAGCATGAACAGATTTCCAGAAAACATTGCAGACTACAGGAACCATTTGTGCTTCAGTTTGAGAGGCAGATAACACAGACTCATCCCCAGCAGCCTGTGCCTGTCTTCAACAGTGAAGGGACACAGGGCAGAAAACATCCCACAGCCAAGAAGGCTCCACACCCATTTGCACTACTCAGGTGACCCTGAGGACACAGGCAAACCTCCAGATGGCCTCAACGACTCTCTCAAAGAATGCAAATGACCAGCGGTCTGCAAGGAGTATAAATCCTTCCATTCCCCACCATCCAGTCAGAGCTGAAGAAGCTTCTTGGATGAGAAGCAAAATGTCTTCAGAGAAAAAAACAAGAAAGTCCAGTTGCCTGTTGAAAAAGCACCTTTGGGACAACCAGTGTTGGAGCACCCACAGCTTCTGGAGGCAAGTCGTTCCACTGATTCATTGTTTGCACCGTCAAGAAAAAGATGGGCAATATCAAGGCCGCTGAAGCCTTTGATCTTACCTGACAAAATAGCAAACTGTCGGTGCAGTTGTTCGATGATCTCCACCGCCGTGACAGGCCTGATCTCCTGTTGCATTATTTCATCTACAAGAAGGGAAGAGAGACAGAAGGAGGAATTACGCCATAACCCAGCCACACAAGGCAGATACTCAGATGTGAATTCCCGGTTTGTGGACAGTTTGGGCCATGTTTTCACCTCTGGCTTTGTCACATGAGTTCCAGCCCCCTCCATCCCCACCCCACCCTGGCATGCAAAATCTTGTTGACAAAGAAGCAGCATCTTTGCTTTCATTTCTCCGTGTATTGCCTTTGCAGTTGTGCAGAAAAAATCATAAATCAAACCCCAGGGTGCTGGCCGGGTGGCCTTCCGGCACAAAACAACTTGTGGCTCGTTCTTATAAGAGAAAGCCAGTGTTATCCCAGTTCTGTGAAACAGCCCTGCCTGTGTTGAGCAATTGCGTGCTGGACCCCATCCAGGCAACAGACGTGCTATTTTTCAGAAATGTATGAAAATACTGGGATTATGCTTTTATTGGGCATTTAATGCATTCATCTTTAATTCCTGCTCCAAAGGATGTAAAATTCCAGGGTATGACAAAACTCAACCCTTTCCACCCATTTTCTGCAGTGAAAATGTGCAAAAATGGATACAGGTAGTCCTTGACTTATAAATTTTCGTTTAGTGACCATTTGAAGTTACAACAGTCCTGAAAAAAGGGACTTATGACCATTTATCACACTTATGACCGTTGCAGCAGTCTGGGTTGCCACCACACATACACACATACAGCAAGAGTTCTACAGGTGTTTATTCACACACACCCCTGGAGACAGGTCATCAGAAAGCACCTCTGTTGCACAGGTCTGGATTCTGAGCTCAGTACGACAAGGGTAACTGGGTAACAGAGTCCAATGGGCATACACAAAGTCCAGGAAAACAATCCACAAGTCAAACAAGTCAGGATACACGACACGAGCACACAAGGCACAGAAAGGGCACGTTGTTCTAGCAAGACTCAAGTCCTCAGGGATTAAGTAGGCAATGCTGATGCAGCCCTCCATGAGAGGCGAGGTTAGTAATAGTAGTAAAGTTGGAAGGGACCTTGGAGGTCATCTAGTCCAACCCCCTGCTCAGGCAGGAAACCCTACACCATTTCGGACAAATGGCTGTTCAGTCTCTTCTTAAAAACTTCCAGTGTTGGAGCATTTACTGCTTCTGGAGGCAGGCTGTTCCACTGATTAATTGTTCTCGCTGTCAGGAAGTTTCTCCTTAGTTCTAGGTTGCTTCTCTCCTTGATTAGTTTCCACCCGTTGCTTCTTGTCCTGCCTTCAGGTGCTTTGGAAAATAGCTTGATTCCCTCTTCTTTATGGCAGCCCCTGAGATACTGGAAGACTGCTATCATGTCCTCCCTTGTCCTTCTCTTCGTTAAACTAGGCATACCCAATTCCAGCAACCGTTCCTTATATGTTTTAGCTTCCAGTCCCCTAATCATCTTTGTTGCTTTGTTGCTCTTCTCTGTACGGTTGTCTCCTTACAAATAATATCTATGTGTCCTTGGATCAGGAGGAGGTGTGGAGTCCACCTCCTCATTGCTAATGGTCAGCAGCTGCTCCCAGTCCTCACCTGGAGCCTCCTGACCAACTTGCTGCAGCCGAGATTGCTCCATCAGGCTAGCACTCTCCGAGCCCCGATCCTAACCAAGACTATGCTCCATGCTCTCCTCTGCTGACTCAAACTTACCCTCCTCCTCTGAACTCGCAGCCAAGGAGGGGTCCACGGGTGAATCCATGACATAGTCTCACAGCGGAATGGGACAACTCACCATGGCCATGTCGCCACGGCTATCTCACCACGGCCAACTCTCCACAGGACAAACTCTCCACGGCCAACTCACCGTGGGATAATTCCACGCGGGATAACTCAGTTCAATAAATGTTATTTGCCACAGTTTCTTCAACATTATTTCCGTTGACAAAAATGGAAATAATGTATAAAAAAAACAATGGCGGATAACATTTATCGTGTTGAGTTGTCCCACACGGATTGTCTGGCAGCGAGTTGCCCCGTGGAAATTTGGCTGTGGCGAGATGGCCATGGACAGTTGACTGTGGCAAGATGGCTGTGGTTAGATGGCTATGGCAAGTTGTCCAGAACCCTCCCATATGGTCACATGATCAAAATCCAGGTGCTTCACAACTGACACATATTTATGACGGTGCCAGTGTCCTGGTGTCCTTTTGCGACCTTCTGACGAGCAAAGTCAATATAGAGGTCAGATTCACTTAATAACCGTGTTACTACAGTGATTCACTGAACAACTTTGGGAAGACATAAGATGGGGCAAAACTCATTTAACAACTGTCTCGCTTGTTAGGCTCAATTGTCGTAAGTCGGGGACCACCTCAGGGGGGCTGCCTATACTCCATTTTGACTCTTTGCATGATGAGCGAGAGAAAAAGTAACTATACACATTTCTCTCTCTCTCTTTCTCTCTCTCTCTCTGCTTCCTTGCCAACTTTTTCTTTGTATGAATACCACATCAGGAACCCTGAATTTTATCCTTAGACAGGGATAGGATAGTTTTGTCTTTCCTGCCTCATGGTGGTTTCTTTCTAGTCAGCACATTCCCTCGAGTCACTATTGTCTGGTGACAAACCCACCAACCTCACAAAAATCTCTTGGTGTCTGTTCTGAATTGTACTCTACATGATGTAAAGAATCCCTGCCAAGTTTCTTTGAGTCATCCTAGGGCAGGGGTAGGCAACCTTGGCTCTTTTATGACTCGTGGACTTCAACTCCCAGAATTCCTGAGCCAGCCATGCTGAGGGGAAAGGGAGAGATTTCCAAGCTGAGCCATGCTGGCTCAGGAATTCTGGGAGTTGAAGTCCATGAGTCATAAAGTGGCCTAGGCCTAGGCCAGAGGTAGGCAACCTTGGCTCTTTTATGACTCGTGGACTTCAACTCCCAGAATTCCTGAGCCAGCAATGCTGAGGGAAAGAGAGAAGTTTCCAAGCTGAGCCATGCTGGCTCAGGAATTCTGGGAGTTGAAGTCCACGAGTCAAAAAAGAGCCAAGGCTGCCTACCCCTGTCCTAGGGCAACTGGAACTTGCAATGCTTTTTCTCATTTGGAAAAGCTTCTATCAGACCTTCAAAGGAGGTCTGGTCAGAAAATGGACACCACAAGCAAAACAGGAACTCTACTTCATAAACAGAAGCTATAATAACAACCTAATGGCAATTCCCCTTTGTTCTGTCTTATACCAAAGTCAGTCAAGGTGGGGAAATCTTGAATTTCTTTCTCACAATGTCTTGTTTTCCCAGACTGAGCTCAGGTTTTGCTAAGGGCCCCTGCATATCTTCTCCAAGATGATCTCCATGTTCCTCTCCAGCAGTGTTTCTCAGCCTGCCTAAGGAATTCTGGGAGTTGAAGTCCTCCCATCCTAAATTTGCTGAAATGGAGAAACTCTGCTCTACAGCATGATAAAGCTCATTGCAAAGAGACAGAGGGGAGACAGGTCTGCTGCAATAACAATGCATCACGGTTCACCACCTCCCTCAAAGGATAGGTTCTCAGTCCTTTGGGGTATAGAGGAAAACAACCCATACAGGTAGCAATAGCACTTAGACTTATATACCACTTCATAGAGCTTTACAGCCTTCAGCGGTTTACAATCTGGGTCCTCATTTTACTGACCTCAAAAGGATGGAAGACTGAGTCAATCTTGAACCAGTGAGGATTGAACTCCTGGCAGTTAGCAGTGAGTTAGCCTGCAATACTGCATTCTAACCACTGTGCCAGCAAGTGGTTAGAATGCAGGGCTCAAGGTAATCCTTGTCAAACAACTGTAGTCCTTGATTTATTGCTCATTTAATAACCTCATTTGAGGTTAGAATAGACCTCTTCCCAAAGGTACTTATGATCAAGTTCCAATGGCCGTGCCCCCCCCAGAGTCACATGACCACATCTCAAGCACTCAACAGCTAACCCAGAATGACGGCCATTTGCAGAGTCTTACAGTCTGACGGCCGTGTTTTATGATGTTTTTGCTAGCATTTACTTTCTGTTTACAGCAAAAATGGCCCATGGCAAACAAGAGGTTTCAATTTACAACCATGACAATGACTGCTACAAAAAAGGTTGTAAAAAGAAGTCCAAAGACTTACTTAATAATAATAATAATAAAGTAGGAAGGTACCTTGGAGGTCATCTAGTCCAACCCCCTGCTCAGGCATGAAACCCTATATCATTTCAGACAAATGGCTGTCCAGTCTCTTCTTAAAAACTTCCAGTGTTGGAGCATTCACAACTTCTGGAGGCAGGTTATTCCACTGATCAATTGTTCTAACTGTCAGAAAATTTCTTCTAGTTCTAGGTTACTTCTCTCTTTGGATAGTTTCCATCCATTGCTTCTTGTCCTGCCATCGGGTGCTTTGGAGAATAGCTTGACTCCCTCTTCTTTGTGGCACCCCCTGAGATATTGGAACACTGCTGTCATGTCACCCCTCGTCCTTCTCTTCATTAAACTAGACATACCCAATTCCTGCAACCGTTCTTCATATGTTTTAGCCTCTAGTCCCCTAATCATCTTTATTGCTCTTCTCTGCACTCTTTCTAGAGCAGGGGTCTTCAAACTTGGCCCTTTTATGACTTGTGGACTTCAACTCCCAGAATTCCTCAGCCAGTCTGTCTGGCTGAGGAATTGTGGGAGTTGAAGACCACAAGTCATAAAAGGGCCAAGTTTGAAGACCCTGTCTAGAGTCTCAACATCTTTATGGGGACCTGCATTATGGGGACCTACTTTACAACCTTCATGACATATAATCATAATGGGCAGCCTCCATTACGGTCATAAGCCAAGGACTACCTATATTTGGTTCTAGAAACACTATACATCTAGCCTGATTGCCAGAGATGTTGGGAGGGATGGGGACCAATGACAGAAGCCCTGCCTTGTTTATGGGCATGCCGTCCCATTGCATGCACCATCAAAAGGAATCGAGCTACACTGTGATATCTTGATGCTGTTTTTTATTATTTTGACGAAAGTCTCTGAGCCTGCTGATGCCTTTGCTTGAAGTTTGT